TTCTTCATCTGCATCTGTGTCTTCTTCCTAATGCAGGACATATTTAATGGTACCTACAGCCTTCAAGGAGCCTCTGGTGCAGGAAGCAAAGTGCCTGGCAGCAGGTAGTGAGCAGGAGTGGGTGGGGCAGGACAGAGCTGGGCCTGAGCCCCAGACCTGGGTGCCCCGCCTGGGAGAAGGCCAGCTTTGGGATGTCCTGCTCAAGGCCAGGCATCAGAATCAGATTTTCAAGTTCCTCTCTTCCTCTTTCTCCTCATATAAAAATGTGATGGCTGCAGGAAGGAGACAGGGGGATATAAATGGGACTCTCAGAAAGCTGATAGAACTGCCAGAAGTACATGAAGTCAGTGGGGAAATTTGTGTGAAATCTGAGTCATAGTTTTTTCATCAAAATCAACAAGAAAACCAAATGGAGTGAAACTGGGCTTTGCTGTGTGGTCCAGTGGCTGGTTGTTCTGTTTCCCCGCCATGGGACACACCAAGGCTTGAGCCATCAGTGCCAGGAGCGCAGGCGGACAATAGACCTGGACCTGTGTTTACAGATACAAATGGCACACAATTCAGTGGTTATTGGAAGAATGTGAGCCATTATTTGTAAAGTCTTAGAGCATCCCATGCAGAACAAAGACACGCAGGTGAGCCACCTTAGTATCAGCTATTAGTATACTGGCAAGTCCCTTGGCTCTCTGTTTCAGGCAGGACTCAGGAGGGGTGGTTGATAAATGCTGTTTTGCTTCTTAAAATAACGCCTACAGACAATCAGCATTTCCTTTCTTCCCTGGGCTCCAAAGCAAGATAGTTCAGACAGAACTGAGAGAATCCTCTCCATGGAAAGGTCTGTTTCCATCATAATTGTTCATAGAACAGAAATGATCCAGAGTGTTTTCATTATTATTGATTTGCCATCGAGAGAGACAGACAGAGAAATATTGATTGTTCCACGTAAGTATGCATTCATTGATTGATTCTTGCATGTGCCATTCCTATGTGCATTGTATTATGGAACCCACACACTTGGCATCCTGGATCGATGCTTTAACTAACAGAACTACCCAGCCAGGGCCAGAGTGTGTTCTCACAATGACGGCCATAGACGTCACTGCCTTCCCTTTACCTGCCCGTCCCATTCTGGGAAAATTTGGCCTCAACACAGAGCCCAGGATTACAGTATGGCCCCATCCCAATGGTCACCAACACAAGGAGGACACTGACACTTCCTAGGAAAGAGCCCTCCTAGAGCTGTGAGACCACACTATCCAACCAAAAGGTTGGTCATCCGTGCATCCTTCAAATTGACTTGTGATCAAAAAGGGGACCGTGGATGAAAAATGGGTTCTATGCAAAGTAACCTCACAGGATGATGCGATCACAAATTCCTAGCTGGCAGGTCATGGTAGGGGTCACCTCCCAGGCATATACTTCTTAGTAAAAGGTTTGTTTTCCTTAAGCAACACCTGTCCATTGTTTCTGTGCATCTAGGTGAACACATTTTGAAATAACCACTCTCAAGAGAGAACAATCTGGCCTGACTGGTGTGACTCATGGGTTGAGTGTTGGCCCATGAATGAAAAGGTCACCAGTTCAATTCCTAAACAAGGCACATGCTCGGGTTGTGGGCTCAAAACCTAGCATAGGGCATGTAGGGGGCAGCCACTGGATGCTTCTCTCTCATCAATGTTTCTATCTCTCTCTTCCATTCCCTTCCTCTCTGTAAAGTCAATAAAAACATTTCTGGTTGTTGTTTTTTAAAGAAGAGTCCACACTCTTGTTGACTGTCCTGTAATCCAATCCCCACCTGCTTTCTCCCAACTTCATGTAACCTTCCTTACATCCCCTCCTTCATTTCAGATGCAGAGAAGAAGCTGAGTGACTGTTATTCTCCAGAGCATTTTAGATCTCATGCAGTTTGGCTCAAATAAACTTTTCCAAAAATCCTTTTAAAAAATTACAGCCTTAAAAAGGAAGGGCATTCTGGCCCATGTTCCAACAGGCATGACCCTTGGGGACACTATGCTGAGTGAAATAAAGCCGTCTCAGGACGGTAAACATTTGTGATTCCACTTAAATGAAGCACTCAAATCCATAGAGATGGGAAGTAGAGAGGCAGTTTCCAGGGGCTGGGAGTTGGGATGGGGAGTTATTGTTTAGTTGGCACTGAGTTCTGTTTTATAAGATGAAGAGAGCTCTGGAGGTTGGTTGCACAACAATGTCAATATAATTTAACACCATTGAACTGTATCCTTTAAAATGGTTAAGGTGGTAAATTATATGTTGTGCATTTTTTAGCATAATAAAAGAATTTTTAAAAGAATGATGTGTGTGTATGTTTAAAAAGTACTATGAACTGGAAGATGGAAAAGATGGACACCTCATATCCTGTGAGCATTAATGTAAATTGGTGCAATTTGTTTGCATTAGAGTGTGGCTCTAGGCATAAAGGAATTTTATATGGTGATTCCCTCTGTCCCAGTCATTCTATTTATTAAATATCTTAAGGGAGGCAATCTCAAATGCAGACAAAGTTTTATGCCTGAAGGATGTTTTTGCACTATTTTCATAAAGAACTAGAAACAAGCTAAGGTCCACTGATGGGTGTGGGCAGCAGAGAGACCGGGCAGCATCAGGAGGGCTGGCAGCCCACAGCAGATCTGCAGGGATGGGGCCAGGGCCGCAAGACCCCAGGGCCTTAGGGGATTGAGGGTGTTATAAGCAAGAAGGGTGCAGACTTGGGAGCTACAGCCCCAGGAATTTATCAACACAAGAGACTTGGCATAGGGTGCAAGACATCGTTTGGGAATGAGAAGAGTCATTTACAAGTAACACAGATGCATTAATAAATGTTTTTGTATATAAAAGAGAGTAGAACATAGTCCTCACAAACACGGGATTGGGATCAGGAAGACTTGGGCTGGAGTCCTAGCTCTAGCCCTACTGTGAGACTGGGACTAACCCCAGTTTAGGTGAAAACCTAGACTTTGTCATGGTTTCCTCCACGTTCCAATGGGAGCCACCATGGCGCCCACCACGTGGAATGTGTGAGAGAATTTGGTGAGGGAACTCGTAAGGAGCCTGTGGTAGACACACCATCAATATTAGCTGAGTGATTAGTCAACACAAATGTCCCCAACCTCAAACCATTTCCAAAACATTCCTTCCCATCTTTTGTGTCTGGTGTTACTGCTTCTTTGGTTTTATGACTCCTCAGCTGTCTGTTTCTTTGTCTGAGGATCTTCTCCTTGTGTCCCCACAGGACACCGGGACTGTCACTTGGCTTGGAGTGGGCTGGAGTGGGCTGGAGTGAGGCGAGTACCTTCTCTTAACTAGCGGCTGGCAGAGCCCAGCACACAGGGAAACACAGTGCATTGAGTCCATCTGGCACTTGCTTCCTTCCCTGAAAGAAACACCAGAGACAGAGCCCCTCCCTGCTCCCTGTTGCTCAGCTGGCTCACCTTCGACCCCACTATTTGTTTTCTCTTCCCCAAGGGTGAAGCAACACCTCCTTCCAGCTGGACACAGACTGGTGAGCTGAAGGGGAAACTCTGAGATCCCACTGCTGACACCATGAGCTCAGAAGCTGACGGGATCTGCCCAGGTAATCAGCCTCCTCCTCTCCAGCTGGTTCCTGCTCATGATCTAGAATTGAGGGAGGTGCCTCCAAGCTGGGTTAAGCTATACAGGAATCAAGAACCTCCAAGGGGATTGATGAGTGTCCCTGAGCCCCCAAGAGGGGCGAAGGGGAGTCCCCTCAACCAGGAGTCTGTGGGAGGGCCTCCTTCCTGGCTCTCTCCTCAGGCTGCTCACTGCCTCCCATCTTCTGCAACTCATGCAATGTCTCCAATGAGGCCAGGACAGCCCATGGGAGGTGGGAATTTCTTGTCCCCTGTACCTGGAGCCTGCTAGTTCCTGGTGGAAATCTTCCCCTCCAGAGAACTGCCACCTCCCACAGCTGTGCTGGGCCCTGACCTGTGCCCCAATTATAAACACCTGCGCACCAAGGTGTGACTATCTCAGTGACTCCCTGCAGAGGCCTGCTTTGTTATTCACCACACCCACACCCACCACATTCAAGAAATACACCCATTTAGTGCTCTGGGTTCCCTCCATCTAAGCCCTGGTTTCCTTTTTCCCTCAGTGTGTGAAGCAAAAAAGGAAAAAACAACCCTCCCCCCCCCCCACCAAAATCAACACTGCATTTTCTAGGCAACCAAAGCACCCCCTAGAAGATAAACTTGTTCCTGTTGCAGCATAAGGGAGGAAAGGACAGATCAGTAGGCTCCATCTACTGAGCAGTCTCTCAGGTCCCGGAGGGAGGCTGGAGCTGGTGGATTCCTGAGGATAAACAAGATGACCTCTTGTTTAAGGAGTGGGTGAGGGTGGGGTCAGAAGTGCCCACAGGGAGCTGTGGCCCCTGAGACCAGCCTAGAGGAGGGAGAGCTGATACTGATTGATCACATGATTAGAGCTGAGGCTCCCACCCCCACCCACCTGAAGACACCCCTCCACTGCCCACCTTGGAGCATCTGTGAGAAGCAGGAAGAATCCTCTTTGCCTGGTAGTTTTACTCCACCAGTGGCGTGTGATCTGAAACATTATTTTCAAATTTTAAAAAAAATCCCATAGGTGAACTCTAGGGTAGAACACAGAAATCACATGAGTTTTTGAACTACAAGGAGGCTTCAAACTAATGTACAGAAATGTCTGATGGGTGACCTTGGATGCCACTTGTGAGGTTTCTGCTTCTTGGCTTGGGTCTTCTTTTCCAGTCTGAGTTTCACCTTCTTTGTCTGTGAAATAAGAATAATATGTCTAGTGTGTATCTGGCAGGAAACACATTTCCATCCTGTCTCTGTACACACAAAATATACACCAACCCCCAGTCCCTCATCTGAGCTTCCAGAGTCTCCAAATCTCTGAGAGTCACACAATTTTTAAAAGATTAATAAAAGTTATTGATTTATACAGAGAGAGAGAGAAATAGAAAGAGGTGAGGGAGGGAGAGATATGGTGTCTCTGCCCCTTCTCCTAAGGACACCATTCATATTGGATCAGGTCTTACACTTATGACCTCATTTAACCTTAATTATAAAATACAGTCCTATGGGGCCTGGCCATTGTGGCTCAGTGATTGAGTGTTGACCCATGAACCAAGAGGTCACTGGTTCGATTCCCAGTCAGGGCACATGCCTCGCTTTCGGGCTCGACCTCCAGTAGTGGGCATGCAGGAGGCAACTGATTGATTCTTCTTTCATATAAATGTTTCCATCTCTATACTTATCCCTTCCTGTCTCTCTAAAAATCAATAAAAGCATGTTAAAAAATAAATAAGCCCCAGCCGCTTTGGCTCAGTAGATAGAGTGTCGGCCTGCGGACTGAAGGGTCCCAGGTTCGATTCCGGACAAGGGCACATGCCCAGGTTGTGGGCTTGAACCCCAATGTGGGGTCAGCCAATCAGGATTCCCTCTCATCATTGATGTTTCTATCTCTCTCTCCCTCTCCCTTCCTGTCTGAAATCAATAAAAATATATTTTAAAAAATAAAAATAAATGAATAAGTACAGTCACATGGGGTGTCAGACCTGCAATATATAAATTTGGGGGGGCAGGTCAGTCCATAACACCAGCTGAGTCACCAAAAGTTCCCAAGATCTTTTTAAAAACTCCCCCACGTGATAGCTGCTCAGAAAGATGAACATTTAATCACCTTGTTTATACTCAATTCCATTAGATTTCTTCTAACCTTATTCTTTTTTCTTTCCATCTAGAGGGCAAAGACTTTGTTGATGTCATTGAGTATTTAATGGACCCAAGGAACAAAGAGAAACTTCAACGCCTGCTGAGTGATGAAGCCTGGAAAAGATTTGTGACTGGGGCCAAGTTGTCCAGGTAACTTCCCGGGGATGCCTGTGTTGTCACACCATCTCCCCTGCATCTAGATTCCTCTGGCAGGCACACTCCTCCAGGCAGGGTTCTGAGCATGGGGTTGAAGAAGTTCCTTTTCAACAGTCCATGAGGAACATTTCCTTCATATCATTCCTTGCAAAGAAGGGGCTCGGGTTGAGAAGAGATGAGACCTGCAGGGGGAGGGTTAGGTGACCTTGGGCTCCTTACTTAACCACTCTCTGTCTTACTCATCTGTTCTATTTCATTGTGAGGAAAATAAGACAATACATGTGAACTGTTTAGCCTAATGACTGACACATAGTAGGTGGACACTTGACATGAACTTTTAAAGATGCTGGGAATAGACAGGGCCCAAGGGTCTTCCTGTTGGACGTGAGAGCCACACAGGACTTCCTTTGGGACAAGCCAGAAAAATCCTGGCACAGTGTGTGTGCCTGGGGATTTTGGCTAGAGAGCCTGCTCTCCCTAAGAAAGGGATTGTACAGACTCTGCAGGGTCCTGCTGGCCTGGAAGGCGGAGAGCTGGAGGGAAGCGGCACTGTGTTGGGTTGAATCCTGAGTGTATCTCTGCCCAGCTCTGGGCTTATGTCATCTCCCTCTTCAATGGAATAGCAAGTCTGTCTGATAGGACTATGGTGAAGGCCTTGGGGTGAACTGCAGGGCAAGGGCGAAGCAGCAGGTGTAGTCATCCTGTCTGGAGGCCCAGAGAGGCCTGGAGCAGGGTCAGAGCCCGGCATCTGGATGGAGCAAGGGTAGTTCAGGTGGGAGGACTGGTAGGAAAGCTTGACAGCAAGGCTGGACTAGAATGAGGCAGCTGAGGCATCTGGGCACAGGACTGAGGAGGCCAGGGGCCTAGTGGAGGGCCGTGGGGGGGGAGGGGGGCACTATGGGGGACACATTTCTTCCTTCCCTGATTTGATTCCCTCACTGCTGGGGGTAGAGGGCCCTGGGTAATTATGTCCTCCAACCCTGTCTGGGAGCTGGAGGGCTCCTGACCTCCATTTGGGACCCTCTTCTCTTCTCCATGGAGTAACCCTGACCAGAGGTCATCTGAGAGATTCTGGGTAGACCCACACGTTCCCACCATAGAGGACAGGGCTTCCCGCACCAGCTCATCCAACCCAGGTCTCAGCCTTAGTGATTCATACACCTGCCTTGGTTAATCCCCTGTCTTTCATTATTACAGGGATGAGGCAGATGCACTCTATGCAGACTTGAGCGAGCTGAAAACACTCATGGCCCTGGAGGACAAAGACATGCCCTCAGCACACCAGCTGCATCGGGAGAGCTTTATGAAGGAGTTTCCTCAGGTGAAACAGGACCTTGAGGAGCGCATACGAAAGCTCTACGCACTTGCTGATGAGGTTGACAAGGTACACAGGGACTGCACCATCTCCAAAGTGGCGGCCTCTTCCGCGGGCGCTGTGTCTGGCATTCTGACCATCGCTGGCCTGGCTCTGGCACCTGTGACAGCAGGAGCTACTCTGGTGCTTTCAGCAACTGGGTTGGGACTGGGGGCAGCAGCTGCTGTGACCGGTGTGACTGCCAGCATTGTGGAAGCCTCAAAGAACGCGTCAGCAAAAGCCGAAGCCAGCCGCCTGTTGTCAACCGGCAGTGACACAGAGAAGATGGTTGAGGAGGTTCTACGTTGCAGCACACCCAAAATTGCTTCCTTAGCACCGAAGTGCTTCCAATCCCTGCAAGACATTGTGAAGAATGCCCGTGCCTTCAAGCTGGCCAAAGCCAATCCTCGCTTAGCAGCCAAGGCCATGCGCTTCTTGCGCATGGGGACAGTCTCAGCCCGAAGCAGCAAGCAGGTGCAGAAAGCTTTTGGAGGCACTGCTCTGGCCATGAGCAAAGAAGCCAGGGTCTTTGGTGCAGCCACGGCAGGTATATTCCTTCTCATGGATGTAATTCAGCTAGTGAAAGAGTCAGTGCACTTACATGAGGGCGCAAAGGCTCAGTCGGCGGAAGAGTTGAGGCAGCAGGCCCAGGAGCTGGAGAGGAAATTGGAAGAACTCACCCGAATTCACACAAGTCTACAGGAGGACCTGACTCCATGATCCCCAGACAGTGCAGGGAGCAGGGTGTGTGGGAGACAAAGGTGTGGACTTACCTTGTTAGAGGGGGAAAGCCAGCGAGATAAAATGGATGGAACTGTGTGTTAAGAAGTTTGGTATTTCTATAGCTGAGCACAGCAAAGGAGGGGTTCATGCAGATGGCTGGTGGGCCAAAGAGAAGGAAGGAACCTGGAGCCTGGAATCAGGGAAGAGAGGGGGAAAGAGAGTGGGGGTGGGGGTAGAGGGGGGACTTTATTTTGACTAAAAAGACATTGGGGTCATGAATAAAGAAAGAGAAGTGGAGGAATAAGCACCGAGAAGGCTCTGACTACCAAAAAGTTGACAATGGAAGAAGGAGAAAGAGTTTGTGTTGTTAGGACATGGGAGTTACAGTGGCTCCTGGATTGGCCCTTCCCAGGGTTCACCATCCTAGCAGGAACCCCGTCTCTCCCTGGTCCTGGTCTCTAGCCCTGCTTTCCAGTTCCAGCTCACCTTTGTCTTCCAGCGGTACATCTTAGGTAGGCAGTGACTTTTTTTAAAATTACTATATATAGTTTAATGAAAAATAGTAATGATTGTGTAACCAAATAGCTAAAACTATAATCACAGGTGTTTTAACCATTCCCTGATGGAGCAACATATCTATATGAATAGATCAAGTACATTGACCTTGAAACACTATGGGTGGCATAGGAGTGATCCAAGCAATTATTTAAGAGACTCAAGTATGATCACATCTACCCAAGCAAAAGAAGAGATTACAGAAATTTTTTTATGTCTGAGATAGAGATTTACATATGTTATTGGACAGACAGTAGTTAGTTATTCATACCTCATTAAGAAAATAAATTCTAAAAGATAATGAATTGTTTATTATTCATTTTCTATACCTGCATAGGCACAAGCTAAAGGCATTGAAGTTCTCACTGTTATAAATAATAACCAATTAATATATGGTAATTCATGCTTCCTCTTATTTTCTCTTTCAGTCCCTAACAAAACCTTACATTGTCAATGCAATAAGAATGATAGAACAAATTTTCAATTACCGAGCTCAAGGCATAAATCTAGAAATATACTATTAAATGTTTGGTGTTGGAGATACATCAGGAAACAAAGATAAAAAACCTTCATGGACCTTACAATCTCAGATTTGTGTTGAATTAGGTACAATTATGGCTTTTAGAGTTATGAATGAAGCTGCTCAAATACATATTCTATATAGTAAAGAGGTAATATGCAAACTGACTGTCACACCCTCACACAAGATGACCACCCTCATGTGGTCACAGGATGGCCACCACAAGATGGCCGGCAGGGGTGGGCAGTTGTGGCCTTCAGGCCAGCAGGGGAGGGCAGTTGGGGGTGACTAGGCCTGCAGGAGAGGGCAGTTGGGGGCAACCGGGCCTGCAAGAGAGGGAGGGCAGTTGGGGAGGGCAGTTGGGCGTGACTGGGCCTGCAGGAGAGGGAGGGCAGTTGGGGAGGGCAGTTGAGGGCAACCAGGCTGGCAGGGGAGGATAGTTGGGGGTAATTGGGCCGGCAGGGAAGCGGTTAGGCATTGATCAGGCTTGCAGGGGAGTGATTAGGGCATGATCGGGCTGGCAGGCAGAAGCGGTTAGGGGCAGGCAGGAGGGCGAGCAGTTGGGAGCCAGCAGTCCTGGATTGTGAGAGGGATGTCTGACTGCCAATTTAGGCCCGAGGGGTCCTAGATTGGAGAGGTTGCAAACTGGGCTGAGGGACAACTCCCACCCCCGCCCCAAATGCATGAATTTCATGCACCAGGCCTCTAGTGCATAATAAAGTATGTTCTTAAAGAACTGCATTAGTAGCCAGAGGATTTGTATGTCCTTTATTTTTTTTAATTTAAATTCTTTATTGTTTAAAGTATTACATAAGTCTCCTTTATCCCCCATTGACCTCTCCTGGGACACCCCCAACCCCACCCCCCGGGATTGACTTTAAAAAATTTTTTTTTATTTTTCACTTACAGTTGACATACAATTATTATATTAGTTTCAAGTGTACAATCTAGTGATTAGAAAGTGATCACCCACTAAGTCTAGCAGACATGTGGCATCATTCAGAGTTATTACAATATTATCCACTATAGGCAGTGACTTCTTGATGATGATGATGATGATGATGGGGGCCATGATGTTGGTGGTGACGACAATGGAGTGGGTAGAACATTTGACAAGTTGCTGGTACTCATTGGGGCCAGGTGCTCTGAGAGACCAATGAAATTACAATGAAACTGCAAAAGGAAAGGAAAGGAAAGGGAAAGGGAAAGGGAAAGGGAAAGGGAAAGGGAAAGGGAAAGGGAAAGGGAAAGGGAAAGGGAAAGGGAAAGGGAAAGCAGATACTCCCAGCAGGTCAAGGAGATCTACCAATCGGGCCCTGAGACACAGCCTCTCCATCAGTGGGGTAGGTGGTGTGGACACGATGATATTCTAGACCCTCTGTTTCTCCCACCTTGTGTTCTGTAGACTTTGGTTCAATAAGATGGACTGGTACACTGAGCCATTCTGGTGTGGATTACTGGGCTCATCTGGGCTCTGGGTTCCTGGCTTCCCTTCCCCATGAGCCTATCCTCCAGGAACTCAGGGAGCAAATCTTCCATTGCTCCTCCTGCTCGCTCACTGGGCTCCCACTCTCCTGTCCAGTCAAGTCCCTGAGACCTCGGTGCCCCGTAAGCTCCCCTGGGACACCCGGGGGAAGCTTCTGCACAGGTGGCTTGGGCTGGACACAGGCAGCTTCCTCGCCCAGCAGCTGGGACCCAGGTTTGACTGTAGGACATGAGGCTGATTAAGATCAGAAGGGCCTGTTTGCAGGTATGAGAGAGGGTCATCGATAAACAGAGAGACAGAGAGAAACAGCGAGACAGCAAACATTTCTCCCAGCTACCTCACATTTTCCCTCCTGCAAGAGCTTCCAGGTGGTCTTCCTGTGTTTGCCCTTGTGGCACTGCCCCTGCCCCCTCTCCACACTGAGCCAGAACAGCCCTTAGGAATACAGATCTTATCAAGCACCTGCTTCCAGCTCTTCAAGGGCTTCCCATTACTCTGCACAAAAGCCCGAGGCCTCCACCAACCAGAAGTGACCTGTTGGAGCCTGCAGACCCCCCCCGAACGCAGAGCTGAGACAAGGCTCCCTGAGGGTTGATTTGGGAAGTGATTCCCCGCAGCTGGACTGAGGGACACTGCCCCCCGGAGAGCACTCATGGGCTTTGCCTTCCGTGGCCCACAGCGAGGACCAGACCCTCACCGACAAGGAAATGCCGGCCGGCCGTGATAGGAGCAAGGTGAGTCAACCAAGGTAAACAGAACAAAGGAGAACGTTCCTTTCCATGCCACTCAGGTCAGCATGACCTTGACCTCCCTGACCTTAGTGGGGAAGCTGGACACACACAGAGGCTTCCTCACTAGGGCCCAGTGTCTGATGGGCCCTCTGAAGAGCACAAGGATGTGTGAGCAGCCTGTCGGGCGAGGTACCAGTTCTCACGAGGCACATGAAGAATGTGCTTGCTCTTTGGAAATGCTTTGACCCGTGGGTATTGATTCTTCTGGATCCTCCATCACTTCCTGCCAGTCCAGCATTAAGGAGAGAGCTCTTATATCAGGGGCTTGGCTTAATGTGAGGAGTAAAGGAAGGCTCAACTGAAGAGGGGTCACCAAGGGTTGAAGAGGATGGGAAGGAGAGTGGGGGTGAGAGTATTTGGGGCAGAGGACCTGTGCCTGCAGAGGCTCTGGCTGGGAGGGAGGGCCACTCTGAAAGGACACTGATGGGACTGCAGTGTGGCCACTCGGCTTCCCTGCCAGGACTCCTGTGAGAAAGGGGCTGTGGTCGGAAAGCTGGGCGTTGGAGCACTGGACGCTGCCAGCAGCCTCTGCAGGGACAGGAGGTGGCGTGGTCGGCACAGACACCACTGCTGCTGGAGCTATGTGTCTGCAGCCCGGGGACCTGGAGGACAATGGACAGAGCTGCTGCTTTTGAGATCAGCAGTAACAGTAAACCCGTGAGATGGAGGTGGGGGGAGTGGTGTGGGTCGGTGGTGGCTGCACCAGGAAAGGGCCAGGGTGAGAGCACAGCTCACACTGCCTGGGGCTCCTGAAACTGTGAGAAGAATCCAGTAGATCCCTGAAACCAGCAGAGCAGGAGGGGTGGAACCAGAGAAATACTTGGGCCCGTCAGCTGGAGGCCAGAACGGCAGGTCACATTCTCGGTCACCATCCAAATTGATAGCAGGGACTTTCACCCCTTCGAAGCGCTGGCTGTTGGCCTCCAGAGCACAGTGGCCAGGATGAGTTTGGGTCGGGTCCAGATGAGCAAGGGGCAGAGGGCTCCTCCAGCCTCGGCCCTGCACACTGACTTAGGATCTCACGCCATGCAGGCCCCTCTGTGTCCTCCTGGTCCCCTCTGCCTCCTGCCCCCTCCTGTTGTCTACCCCATCCCTCTGGGCTGGGCAGTGGTTCTCAAAAGCATTGTGGTAGTCACTGTGGCTGTTGGT